GGCCGTGTGGATGGGTCCCTGGGGGTAGCGGGCGTGCGCGAAGGGCAATTGGCCCGGGTGGATGCGGTCGCCTCTTAGAAAAGCCCCGGAGACCGGGGGGACGCGGAAGCCGCCCTAGCTGGATGGAAAGCCTGCTCCATGTGCTGAGGCTTAGCTCCCCAGCGCCATCAGTGTCTGGATGAGGAAGGTGTGGAGGGAGCACTGTCGTTGCGGTGCCGTGCTCTCCTTGGAGTGCCTTTTGCAGCCCCCGGTGTCCCTGGAGCTGAGGATGTGTGGCTCTCTGAAACCTAACCCTAATGGTTGCTTGGGGCTGAAGCTGAGGTCCCCTGCACCATCGCTTGACCTGTAGGTCCCCAGCCTCAGCCCACTTCTACCATTAGTTGGAATTAGTGTTCAGAGATCTACAAAGATCTCTGAATCCAGAAACTATAGATCCAGCAACTCAGAAATTCCCCAAAATTGGGGAAATCCAATCTAACCTACCCTCTTTCTGTTTGAAACTGTTGTCCACTGTCCTGTCACTACAGGCCCTGGTAGAAAGGCTCTCTGCATCTGTCTTGTAACCTCCCTTTATATGCTGAAAGCAGTTAATGTTTTTGCTGAGATGCTGTTTCAACAGGTCATACCTGATGCCTAGTAAAATTTTCTTCTATATATGCTCTATAAAAAATCATAGACAACCTTGGTATAGCTAAAGGTAAACTTAAGCCTGATATCTTGCTCGGACAGATGTTGCTTATCATATTCTGGGCAAACCAGGTTTTACCTCGTGTTAGTGAAGTCTGCTTTCTCTTATCAGTCAAGCTATTAATAGTCAACATTTGTCAATTGTGTTTTCTGAGTGTCAGCTTTTGGTTATAATGTTCATGTTTTTGTTGAACAGGTTCTCCGCTTTTGGGTAGATCAACAACCTCACCATGTGTGGTATCTGGGCCTTGTTTGGCAGTGATGAATGCCTTTCTGTCCAGTGTCTAAGTGCCATGAAGATAGCTCACAGAGGTCCTGATGCGTTTCGTTTTGAGAATGTCAATGGATTCACCAACTGTTGTTTTGGTTTCCACCGCCTTGCAGTTGTTGATCAGTTATATGGTATGCAGCCAATCCGGGTGAAGAAATTCCCTTATCTGTGGCTGTGTTACAATGGAGAAATCTACAATTTCAAACAAGTAAGTGTTGTAGGGATCATATGGCATTTTCTTTTCTTTTTTTTAATTTCAAACCTAGTGGATATTCAGAAAATGTTTAAAACCTGGTGGACTAGAATATCAGAAAACTTTTATAAGTTATTAAATTACTAGGATGTAAAAGGAAGTACATTACCTCTATGAATAGGCTGCCCAGAGAGGTTGTGGAGTCTCCTTCTCTGGAGACATTCAGAATCTGCCTGGATCCATTCCTGTGTGACCTACAACCTACCTAGGTTGATTCTGTGATACTTAGTCTTTAAGACTGAAAAATTGACAAGAAGGATAATAAGCATTTGTATCTTCAGGTTTGATCAGTTTAAAATAAAGGTGCACTCTTTGTTATCTCTTGGGGAGGGGAATTCCAAGCATCTTTCTCCCCTTCCACTCTCTTTGTAATGCAAATAGTTGATAGCTCGCTGAACCTGAGCCAGCAGTGTGGCCAGGAAGGCCAAAGAGCATCATGGACTGCATCAGGAATAGTGTGGCCAGCAGGAGTAGGGAAGTGATTGCCCCTCTGTACTCTGCACTGGTGAGGCTGCACCTTGAATTATGTGTTCAGTTTCGGGCCCCTCACTACAAGAAAGACATTGAGGTGCTGGAGTCTGTTCAGAGAATGGCAACAAAGCTGGTGAAGGGTCTGGAGACCAAGTCTTATGAGGAGAGGCTGAGGAAAGTGTAGTTCTTTAGCCTGGAGAGAAGAAGGCTGAGAGTAGACCTTATCACCCTCAACAACTACCTGAAAGGAGGTTGTAGCAAGGTGGGGGTTGGTCTCTTCTCCCAAAGTAACAAGCAATGGGATGAGAGGAAATGGCCTCAAGTTGCACCAGGGGAGGTTTACATTGGATATTAGGAAAGATTCTTTCGCCCAAAGGGTTGTCAAGCCTTAGAACAGATTGCCTGGGGAAGTGGTGGAGTCACCATCCCTGGAGGTGTTTGAAAGATGGGTAGATGTGGCACTTAAGAGCATAGTTTAGTGGTGGACTTGGCAGTGATAGGTTAATGGTTGGACTTGATGATCCTAAAGGCCTTTCCAACCTAAAGGATTCTATGATTCTGTTCTATAAAATGCTTTTAGATTGTCTTGCTCTTCAGTTATTTTGGGTCATTCTCCAAGCTGTCGGATATTGCATTTTTATTTCTGCGTATCAATCCAGATGGGATGTGTCACTTTTATTAATGTGTAGCATGTAGGTATATGTATATGTATTTATATACAAGCAGCAAACACTAGGGAGATGTTTCCAGTAGGCCACCAAAGTCTTTGGGTGTCTGCAGCTTAAGGCAAATGATTCTGGGGGGTTTTTGAGAGCCACCTAGGCAAGTCTCCTGTGCACAAAACAAGCAGTAACTTACTTCCTAAAGTGTCTGAATGTCCCTGATGGGTGCACTACTGCTTCTGAACATCATCTGTGCGCCTCAGTCCCTGTGCTGAGATGTGCACGTTGCCTGTGCTACGTGTAGAGCGAAGTGATTCAGATAATCTAAATTTAGGGTATAACGCAGCATAGAATTGTGAGTGCTTCTGAATTGTGCTGAAACTGCGTGCTTAAAATGAATCAAACTGAGCGTGGTAGTATCAGAAACACATGAGTAATCTGAGATGTCTTAGTACTTCTAAAATCGCTTCTTTGAAGTCAGAGTTGGGCTGCTGTCAGTGACATCAGTAACGTCATTGGACATTTGAACAAATAGGAAGGAGTTGTTTTGGTTTTGCTCCCCACCAGTCTTTAAGTTTTGGGCTGTTTGAAATGTGCGATACACTTTGCCCTGCAGTCCATGTGAAGTGTGTTGTACCAACAGGCTATAATGCTTGCTGTGTCTTGCATTGTGGTTTTTCTGCTGTAGAAAAAAGTAAGAATTACTCTGTCGTGCTACACACACAGTCCCAAGGGGAATTTAATTCTGGAAAGCTTGCACTGCTCTTGGCAGGAATTTGTTTGGTTGTTCTCACTACATTATGTACCCTCTTTCTTTATAAAGAGATTTTTCTTTCAGGCTTGTGGCTGAAACCTACCTAGGAAGGTTCACTGGTGAAACAGGCATTTTGTTTAGGGCAGTGACTGAGTTATTTTAATATTGGCTCAATTTGATCCAAGACACTGCCCCATAAATAACAATTAAGACCAAATAATTGAAGTTAAAATGATAAAGCATTGCTTTTGTGGGGTTTCTTGACTTTTTAGTGTTTTATTGAAAGCTCCTCTTTCCCCCATCTGGTAGATATTGAAAGGAGTTTCAGAGTGGTACCACAGTAACATGAAGAATATTTGGTCTGACTTAAGTCTGACAGCTAATTCCTTCCTCCTCCACTCCATCTGCACAGGCAGAGTGAAAACGTTGGTTTGAGGGATGAAGGAAGATTAGGCAGCAGGAAATTCTCTGCGCATAAAAAAAACTCACTGAGGAATTGCAGTGACTGCATAAGTAAACAAAAGATTATTGCTGAAATACTTTTCCCTGCAGAGATGTTACCAGCGTCTGTTTTTTGGGGTGGAGGAGGCTTACATAAATGTCATTATTCTCCAGTAAGAAAGTAGCACCAAGTAACTTTAGGCTACAGGAAATGATGCCTTTGTTTCTGGTCCTGTTTTGAGTTGGATTTTTAGCAGTGTTTGCCTGTTTCTGCCATTTGTCTGTGGGAGATGGGGAGGCTGGTGCTTCTGAAGACCAGGGTCGTGGAGTCTGCCATCCTCAGATATAAATATATCCCTGAAAACTTGCCAGAATGTGAATAGTTTAAGACTGCAGAGTCAGTCTGCATTGTCTGAGAGATTATCTAAGGTAATATTTTGCACACAAAACTGTAATTTCCATCTTTGGTAGAGGTGTTTATATAACATTTTAACTGTGATCTAAAAAAAAAAATCTTCCTTTTCTTATTAAACAATTACATGAGTGGTGTTATTTGTTTAATTAATAAGCAGTCAATGTTTGAAAATGCTTATTCATGTTTTTCTTCATATTTTTTCTTAGTTACAGAAGCAGTTTGGATTTGAATATCAAACACTAGTGGATGGTGAGGTTATCCTTCATCTTTACAACAGAGGAGGAATAGAGCAAACAGCGTCCATGCTAGATGGCGTATTTGCTTTCATCCTTCTGGACACTGCAAACAGAAAAGTGTTTCTGGCAAGAGATACCTATGGAGTCAGACCACTGTTTAAGGTGCTGACTGATGATGGATTTTTGGGTGTCTGTTCTGAGGCAAAAGGTAAAACCAGTTGTGTTTACTGCCTAAATAATCTTGGGTATTGTTGTCAGAGACAAACTTCTTTGTCAGGCTTTTCTTCTAAGTGTGAAGAGAAAATGAGCTGTAAGTTCAGTAATAAATGAACTCTAGTAGTCTAAGAACTACGTATCATTAAAACAAAACCCACAGACAGTAAACATCTTAAGATGTTTAATTGTCCTTAATAGCTCTAAAATAATGTGCTTATTTAATTTTATAATTCTTTGTGTTCTGGAATCATAGCAGTATTGTGCCCAAGATGTTTTATGTTACTCCAAAGTTAAATGTAGTCTATAGAGCTAGGCTAGATTTAATCTATGATAAATGATATTGGAATTTTCCTGATGCTCTCTGAACAGGGAAATAGTGCTGCAAGAACTGCTAATCTGTAAAAGCCAAGAATTTTAAAGCCCTACTGAAATTTTCTGCAGCATTGGTAATTTTCTAGTGACACTGCTTACTTTATTTGTTGACAATTTTCTTACCTTTGAGTTGACACATCTGCTACTTACTTTTTTTTTTTTAAGTAATTATTTCTAGTCCTGACTCTTGCATAAACAAATCCAAACAGTCCCAAAAGGGAGTTTATTGCCTAAAATGCACTTTGGCTAAAATTTACTGTCATGATTACTTGTGTTCTCTTTACTATGTATCAATTTTATTATCAGACTCCAATGCATGTTGACTCCTCTAATAGCAGTACTAAGTGGTACCAGAGCTGTACCATCTCTTCTTCTTGGGAAGAAAGGAGAGAACTGAATATTTTGAGGACTGTGTCCCATAACCGTAACAGAGGATTACCAGTCCCTCCCTAACAGCAATTCAGTATCTCTTTTGTGGGGTCCCTAAAGGGGCATCCAGGTGACCAGCAGGTAGAAAACGTCATCTTTCTCAAGAGCAATGGAAATGAGGTTTGGCTGCAGGTCTGATTCTTGGTGTTCATAAGCAGTGGCATAGATCAGCCTGCAGCTGATGAGTTATGAAATCACTAAATCAGTGTCAATTAAGCAATCACTTCAGTGATGCAGTTTTATTACAAACCCCTTGTTAGCTTGACTACACTTAATTTTAGACACAAAACAGTTATTAACTGTCATTTGAATTCTCATTAGCATATTACACCTTGACCTCGACATCAGGTAGTCAATTAGAGAAGTGCTTTTCTTAATACTCAGTAATAAATTGCTTTGTACCAATTAGTAAAACTTGCTTGCTTCCTTTCTCTGCTATATGCCTCAGCTTGAGATGGCTCAGATCTATGTATGCAACCTGCCAGAACCTGAATCACGCTCTAGCCAGGGTAGACTATGACTCAAAATGGTATTTTTTTAATACTAAATTTAGGATTTTGAGAAAATATTTGTGTATAGTTTTAGTACAGAAGCTGTTGAGTGAGGTATAACTTAACCATCCTAGGTTAAAAATCTGACTTTTTTTCCCATTTTATCTGTAGGACTTACCAACTTAAAGCATTCAACATCCTTGTGTCCTAAAGTGGAACCGTTTCTCCCGGGTCATTATGAAGTATTGGATTTAAAGCCCTCTGGCAAGGTTGCATCAGTGGAATTAGTAAAATTTCATAGCTATAAAGATGAAAAACTCCATGCTGTATGTGATACAGTGGAAACTCTGCCTTCAGGTAGTACAGCAAAGCATTTGCTACTTACTCGGATTAGAAGGTGAAAAAATTATAATCTTTGAGTATAAAATTTGCACTGATTGATTTTAAAAAGTGCCATTAAAAAAGTCAAACAAACCTGGAAGAACCTTTATAATGTAGGGACTTGAGAATAGTTTTTATAGGCAGTCATGTACAAAGATGAACTTGCATGCCTTCATTATCAAAGGAAATTCAAACAAATATCTTTATTTCCTAATAATGTAATCTGGCAAAATCTAAGTAACACTTCTTGGATTCTTTTTCCTCTTCTTTCTTTTCTGAACAGGCTTTGATCTTGAAACAGTGAAAAGCAACATCCGTATTCTGTTTGAAAATGCTGTTAGGAAACGTTTGATGGCTCACAGAAGGATTGGTTGTCTGTTGTCAGGTAAGTGGAGAGTATCACAGTTCTTATGTCTTCTCTCTCTATCTCCCATCCTCTGCTAGTTAAAGGAAAGTATACTGACTGTTCTGCTGTGATGTACCTGAACTGATTTGAATCCTCTTTTGCTTTGCAGAGCAGAGAACAGAGAACTTGTTAGTTTGTGATAATGGCTTTATAGCCATGGGACCGACATCTTATTTACTGTGTTTTTGTAGCACTTTGTACTTGTGGTTAGAGTTGTTCAGCATGCACTGAGCATCAGTAATTACACTCCTTTATCATGAAACATATTAAATGTGCATTTGAATGAGAGAGAACTGACTAGGAGATACTGTTGGACCTTTTCCTTACTGTGGCATCATAAAAAGTAGGAGGGAGGTAAATGAAACAGGGAGATACACAGTTGGAAGATGCTAGCCTCAGTAAAAAGCCTGTTCAAACCCCAAATTTCAGATATCAAATTAGAGGGTGGTCATATGCACATACAGACTGCATTAGCAGCAAAACTAAGTGCTCGTGCTGGTATAATACCAGAGTATCTCAGTGCTTCACAATTTTGAGTATGCAGAAGCATCACAGTTGGAGAAGTGTGTTTGTTTCCAATCACGGAGGGAGTTCTGCAACTTCACAGTGGAAACTCATGTTTTGACTTCCCTGATTTCCGCATCCTAAGCCCTCAGTTTGATTTCTATGTTCTCCTTTTTGTCAGACTCTGCATATAATTTCTACAGGAGGAGATTTTTTTCTACAGGGTAGCGTGCCCACAAGGGGAAAAAGGGTGGAAATGGATGCTATTGCACTCAACAGAAAAAACACACGCAGACTATAGGAAACTAAGAGGAGAGAATTTTGTCTCATGCATGTCAGAACTGCAGGCAGGTGTGAAAGAACAGGTACTGTATTTTGTTCAGTACTTCAAAGAGGAGCAGCAAGTAGATCTAGTCAAGGATTAGCAGAGCTAGCTCATGAGAATAAGAAGGTAGAGTCTCACAGTACATCTGTGCACCTTGTGCATCTCTTGGTTTAGTTTTTGGGTTTGTTTGTTTGTTTGTTTTCCAAACTGTTCAAGTCCTTCCACTCTCCTCCTCTGAGAAACAAGAGGATTAAAAAAAAGAATGTCATTAGTGAAAAATTAATTCCTCTCAAAATGTGTGAAACACGTTTCAA